TGTGTGTGTGTGTGTGTGTGTGTGTGTGTGTGTGTGTGTGTGTGTGTTTTCAAGACAGTGTAGTCCTGGCTGTATTGGACTTGCTTTGTAGACCAGGCTGGTCTTGAACTCACAAAGATCCACCTGCCTCTGCCTCCCAAGTGCTGGGATTAAAGATGTGTGCCACAATGCCTGGCTTATGTTTTCTTTTTTAAATCCTATGTTCATTTCCTGTCCATAGGTTTCTTGCTCTTCCTCTTAATCTATGATTGACTTTATTTAATCCTTTTTACAATTTTTCAAGCAGAAAGCTTTTGGATTAAAGGTGTGTTCTAAGGATGAGCCACACCATAACTAAAACCCAGTTTTTCTAGTAAATATCAGTATCATCAGATATCCTGCAAAATATCAGCAGTCAGGTCAGAGGCAAGAGAATATCTTGAGTTTCAGGCCAGCCTGTTCTATGGAGTTGTATGGCCAGGGCTACACAGAGAAACCTAGTCTCAGGGTGCCCACCCCTCCCCACCAAAACAAAGAAACAAACTCCAGTCATATCCATACAATTTTGGGGTTGCTTGCTTCATCCGGTGGGGACACTGACTGACTTATAGAGTGTGCATTCATTGGGTGTCATTTATCATTTTAGAATACTTACAAAGGAGGTTCCGTGAGCCCAGGTGGATGCTCCAGAAGGTTAGGTGACTTGCTCGCTCCCGAGGGCCAGGACCACTCCCCAGAAGCCTTTGCCTCTGCTTTCTGTGTGCCGGTCCATGCACACAGACTGTGTTCTCACAGCCCTGTGCCAGTGTGTGTGCCCTCCCCTGCTCTCCCTAACGCCATTGCTCTCTGTCCCGCAGTGGCCATCAACCTCATCGTTCAGCATATCCAGGACATCCTCAACGGAGGGCTCTCCAAGCGGCAGACCAACGGCTATCTCAACGGCTACACCCCTTCACGCAAGAGGCAGGCATCAGAGTCCAGCAGCCGGCCACACTGACCCCGTGCCCTGACTCCAAACCCCAGCCCCCAGCTCCAAGACACAGGAGAGGTCGAGAGGCTTTGATCACCTGTACATACGCCTCCTATGAAATTACTGTATTTAAGAAAACACCACGGAGATGAAATGCCTTGATTTTCTTTTTCTTTTTCTTTTTTTTTTTTTCCTTTTTGTACTTTGGAACAACAAATCAAACAGAACTTGACCCTAAGCTTAACTGACAAACTGTGCCAACTACTGGTGATGCCTAATTATGAATACACCGTGTAACCAGTTATAAATACACACATACATACAGATATATAAAAAGAAAGGATCTATTTTTGTGTAAATGTACAAATACTGTAAAGCTGTTTGCCATAAGTATTGTGCAGGGACCTGTGTGTGGGTGTTGGGCCTGGAGCCCCACCCAGCAGGGTTCTGTGCTCTGGCATCTGGGGAGCCATGGCTGGGTGGTTGATGAGTTGGTGTCCCTTGCTTTCCGCACCATGGGCCGTGGTGGGGATGGGACACAGCCCTCACTGTCTCCCTTGTTAGATGCCGCATCCTTGAAACTGGAACTGAGAGAGATACTTTTTTTTTTTTTTTTTTGGAGTTGAAATTGTGTGATCTCAACTCAAAAACTCAAATCTCAGGGAAGAGGCCGACTGAGAAAGATCAATCTGTCTTGTCTGTGTTTCTTCTTGCCTCGCTCTGGCTTTGGCTGCCTGGGCAGCTCCACCGCTCCTTCCTTCCACCACCATCTCTGTTTCCCTGGAAGCCAGAGCTGTCTTTTGCCTGGTGGGGATTTTAAAGGGTCTCATCCAGCATGGAGAGAGGGAGAGAAAGAGGAGGGGTGGGACTGTGTCCCTTGGAGAATTTCAGGATAAACTGCCTTCTAGGGAAGTTGCCTGGACACATTACTGAGTTTGGAGTGGCTCATTGGCAGTCTGGGCTTTGGTTAAGGACCTCTGGTATGGACCACTGAGGGGATGCCCCAAGAGTTCCACCCATGGAGCTGGCAGTAGTTTTTGTTCCTTCTGAGCTGGCACTGTATAGTGAGATGGCAGCCTTGGCTTCCTACCTGAGACTTTTGAGAGCAGCAGCGTCAGGATTTCCCGAACTACACCGCCTCCATGTTAACTCGGTGGCTGCCCAGCAGGAAGGCGTTGGGAGAAGTTATTTCTTAGACGGTATTAAGGGAAGGGTATTTAAATCATGGGTGCCTAAGTGGGGGTTTTAGATTGAAGATGCCAGAGGTAGAGATTTTCAGCCTTCCTGAGTGAGCGCTTCCTCTTTGTGGGAACTCTGGCCTGGAGGAAGTTGATCCATGCCATGCCGGGAAGACTGCTGGAGGAAATGGGGACCAAACAAGAAGGCAGGCATGAGCTAGAGGCCCCAGTCTGTGCCTAACTACAGAAGAGCCCAGGATTGTCACGTTGGTGGCCACCGTCCTGCACCTTGTGGGCCACGTGCTTAGTCACTCCACCTGGACAGAGAGCCTCCTGCCTGGGTGGCTCTCAGGAGCCCTCGAGGTTCGATGCAGCCACACTGAAGTTCCCCTGCTGTTTCAGCACCGTCCAGGTCCCCAGTCAGGATTCAAATTTGCCTCCAGCTCTGTTTTTCTCTTGAAAAGACATTAACCTAGTCCTAAGTAGAGCTTTGCCACTTTTCTTCGGCATCAGGCCATGGTGCAGACTCTGCAGCAAGCTGCTGCTGCTCGGCAGCTGCTGTTGGAGCAGGAGAGAGGTCAGCTCAGGCGCTTGTGGGAGGGCACACACTCGCCAAGATGCATGCTAGAGTGTTTGGGAAGCAGTCCTCATCACATGGACTTTATGCAGTTCTGAGATTCAAGGGGTAGGTTAGGGCCTGGCCTGGGATTCCAAGGACGAGAATCCTGGCCTTGCTGGGGTTGTACGTGCTCATGGGAAACCCATTCCTGTCTGCAAGAGTCTTGGCCTCTCAGTGGGTAGCACGCTCAACTTTACTTGAAGCCCCCAGGTGCCAAACCACTTAGTGCCTTGGCTGTCTATCCCACTGCCGTGGAAAACGGATTCTTCTCATCTCTGAGCCTTTACTTAGCCGCTTCCTCGTGTATCTACGGTGTTGGGACCAAGGCTCCAGGACCTCTGAGTGGCCCACTCCTAGCTTGGACACAGCTGTAGGACTACCCTGCCCCTACCTCCTTGGGGAGTGGTAACCAGTTCTGGCTTGGCTAGAAGCAGTGTTTGCTGGCTACAGGGAAGGGATGGAGGCTCTGAGGCCGCCCAGCTTTTGGCCAATTGTGCGTTTGAACTTGAACTTTCCATAGGAAGCATTGTGATCAGTCCTAAGATTCTGGATTTCCAATTCCACTGGAGAGTTGGAGGTAAACTCATCAGGAAACCATGATATTTGTCACCTGGGGACTTTCAGCTGGCCAGAGAGGGAGCGCAGCTGAGCAGGGTCACACTGACCTCAGGTGCACAAATCCTATTGGCTTCAAAGCCACCCAATGGTGCTTGCTTCCCCCTCCCTGCTCACCCACTGTCTCTTTGTTCAGGAAACAAAGTTGTGAGCCTTGTATGAGCCAAAGGCCCTGGCTCATACTTCATGCTGAAGCAAATGCTGCTGGGCCTGTGACTTCTCTTTGGGTGTCCAGAGGCTCAATCTCACAGTTCATCCCACTAGCATAACTCCTGCTGGCCTGTGACTTCTCTTTGGGTAACCAGAAGCTGAAAAAAAGATAGGACTCTGATCTAGAGTGGGGAAGCGAGTCTCCAAGTCACCTGTCCCAGAACTAATTATGATGGCGGCTACTCAGATCATAGGAAAGTTGGCTCCAGCTCCGTCTATCCAGGGTGACTTGTCTGTCTCTTGGGTGGCCACTGGGTCAGGTGTGCCCATGAGTAGCCCAAGGTGGAGAGACTGATCAACCTTGCCTGTAAAGCCCCGCAGATGTGGGGCAATGCGTTCTCTTGCAGGGAAATGTTTTTCACTGCCCTTTGGAACCTGTGCTCATGTCCAAGAATCTCCAAAGAATGGGCTGCTTTTGGCAAAAGCTAGGGTCAGTCCTGGGTACATGAAGGCCAGTGCTTTCTGGGAAGGACCAGCAGGCCTTCTCTGTCTCCTTTGCTGTTTATACTTTTCCTCCAGGCCATAGCGCTATGCTTTGTGTCAGACGGAACACGGGAGAGCGCGGGTTGGGGAAGGCTCAGTTGGATGCCTGTGTGTGCACAAGTCCCCTTTAACATTCTGGCTGTGGGCCTGCTCTACTCGAATGGTGCCAGGCACAAGTGACGTGTTTCAGTAGCTTCCTGTTTCTCTCAGGCGGGAGTTTCCACCCAGGCCTGCCTTGGGGAGCGAGGGTGAGTGGCTAGATGGAGACCTAGGCTGTTCTTTCCCTAGAAGATGCTGCCTCTTCCCCTCTTTGCTTTTTACTGCCCTGTCTTTGTCAGTGCTATGAAATGACCACATCCTATGTACTTTGCTGTAAATAAAGACGAACAAAAAGTACCCAACTCTTGACTTCTTTGTGGTGCCTGGTTAGAAGCGGCCACAGGAGCCTGCTGTGAGAATTCAGGGGTGGAGGGGAGGGCTGGGCCTTGCATTTTTGGAGGAAGTGTAACCTAGCCTGCTGTGTTGAGGCCTCCTGGTCCTGGGGCTTGCGTGGAGCAGACTCCAGGCCCTAGCTGGGTTCTCCCAATGTTAGTTGCTTTGCACTTTACACATGAATCACTGGGCCATGGTTTCTGGGAGGCCACGGTTCTTGGAATGATGACAGTTCTCATTTACGAAGCCTCTATATTCCAGACCAGTTGCCTTCCTGCTTTATTGAAAGGGAAAGCAAAACCTAAATGGAGTAAATGAGGGTATGTGGTGGAAGAAAGTTTAATTGTAACTCACTCTGAAACAGATGAAGGTATATGTGCATATTCCTAAAAGATGCATGTGCATTAGCGTTTGTGTGTGTGTGTGTGTATGTGCATAGTCATGGAGTGCTCAAGGAGGCCAGAAGCGGGTCTTGGAGTGAACCACCGTTAGGGTGCTGGGACCCAAACCTGGGTTCTCTGAAAGCATCAAGTGCTCTTAACCACTGAGCCACCTCTCCAGCCTTTCTGTCCTTGCCTACTTATTTAGTTATATACCTACATATTGATTTATTTATTTTTGAGGTAAGGTTCATGCTGTGTTGACCAGGCTGACCCAGGTGCCTTAGCCTCCGAGGTGCTGGGATTGAAGCCACCTGCCATCACCCCCAGCTTATCCTTGTTTGCAGTGACCTGTGCTGCCAGGGATGGTCGGAGAATTGGCTTCTGCTCTTTGCAGCTCTTGACCGTGCCGTGTCGGAGCTTCCCTTCATCTCTACCTCTGTCCTGCTGACCCCAGCCACCCCTGGAATTCAGCAGATCCCTCAACAGGAGCCTCTCAGCAGTGTCCCCCCTTCCCTTGGGGGTCCAGCGGTGCTGTTCTTAATTCTTTTTATGCGCATGCTCCTTTGCCTCCATGTATACCTGTGTGGCACTTATGTGCCTAATGGCCTCAGAGGCCAAAAAAGGAAATCAGATCCCCTGGAACCAGAGTCACAAATGGCTGTGAGCCTCCCAGTCAGTGTTTTAGCCCCAAATCTGCACTGCTTCAATGGAGTCCATAAATGGGCAGGTTTGCAGAAATGGTTAAAAGTGTTGAATACAAGGAGTAGAGAAAAGGTCTTGTGACATGACAATGTGGCTTCAAGAGAAGCCACACTTGGGTAGGTGGAGTCCTTCTTGGACTTCGGGGGATGTTTGGATACTTCACAGCTGATTTTAAAAGTTAGGTGTGATGGCACACGTCTGTGACCCCCAACACCGACCTGAGGCAGGAGGATGCCAAGCAGTTGCCTAGCAGTTTAATGAGGGCATTTTCTGGGCTGGGGCTGTAGCTTGGTACTAGAACGCCGCAGAACCAAACAAAACTACGTGCCACATCTCAGCCTAGCCTATGAATAAAGCACGAACTAAAGTTAAATAGCTGTGTGAGCCCATTTGAGACAGGACTAAGCCCTGGTGTATACATCCATCCCCTGCCCAGGCTGCTCCTCTCAATCAAGGATGTTCACAGGAATCCTCCCAGGACCTTCTGCTTCCTCTGTAAATTCACGCTAGACCTCTGTGTTCATGTGTTCACTTGGCCTAAAAGCAAACCAAAGCAATCAACCACCAAAACAAAACAAACACCCGCCCTCCTTCCCACCCCCGAACCCCTACATTCCCCCCAGACCTATGAAGTATGCTAGGAATGTGTTTATTCTCCAGGATTATTGGAAAACTGAATTCAGCTGTGGGGAATGCCTGACCTAAACCACAGCAAGTCTGGTGTGTTTCTGCCACCTAGTGGCGGCGGTTCAGATGGCAGCAGGAAGGGGCGGCTTTGGTTGCGGCTGGAGTGTGCTATTCAGCTCAGTTCGGTATGCCGCTAATCTTGGCGGTGAGGCCACTGTGCCAGGCACCCGATGAAGGTGCTTGCCAGTGACGGTTTGTTGGGTTGCGCTGCATACAAATAGGAAAAGTGCCAAGGACACCCTGACTGAAGGAAAGCGCTTGTTTCTCTCTTAAGCCACCTGTTCTCAGCCTTCCTAACGCTGCGATCCTTTAATACGGTTCCTTTGGTTGCGGTGACCCCAAACCATAAGATGATTTCATTGCAACTTCACAACTGTACTTTCGCTACTATTATGAATTGTCATGTAAATGTCTGATATGTGACTTCCTTGAAAAGGGGCCCCCAGGTTGAGAATCTGCCCTAAAGGCAGTGCTGTGGTCCAGTGCAAAGGATGATACTGTATCAGAGACTCAGACTCCAAGTTTCCATCAGCAGCACTTAGTCTTCATGTCCAAATAGGCTGCTTCCGGATGAGGCGGGGCTCTGCCCTGTTAGGATGAGCCCTGTGCCTGCATTTCCTTGGCCTTCAGAACTCAGCCTACACCTGCCTCGAAGGGAATGAAACCAGAGCCGCCCAGAGATACCGTGAGCAAAACCCGGAAAGAAACTCTCAGGAACTGAAAGCTGTTATTATAATTTTGTTAAAAAAAACTATTGAGGGTGGGCTGAGATGGTGCAGAGAGGAAAGGGGATTGCCGGCAAGTCTGACGACCTGAGTTAGACCCTCAGGATCCAATGGTGGTCACCCCACACACACGCGCGCGCGCACACACACACACCAAATACTCACACACATTAAATACAATTATTTATTTTATTTTTATTTTTTAATAATAAATATGTTTTTGAGACAGTGTCTCATGTAGCCTAGGCTGGTACAGCCTTGTTATTTAGACAAGGCTGTACCTCATAGATGTTCTATAGCTCACAGGTGTTCGCCTGCCTTTACTGCCCAAGTGCTGGGATTAAGGGCACGAACCAACAAGACTGGCCCGACATTAAATGAATTTAGTTAATAATAATAATAAAAAGAAACTTCATTGCACTATAGCTTGTGTGCTGGGTAGTATTTTATGTTGACCTGGCACAGGCTAGAGTCATTTGGGAAGAGGAAACCCCAACTGAGGGAGAAAAGTATGCCCCAATAGGTTAGCCTGGGGGCAAGCCTGTGGAGCATTTTCTTGATTGGTGATTGATGTGGGAGGGGCCTGTCTCACCGTGGACGGTGCCAGCCTTGGACAGGTGGTACCGGGGACGCATAAGAAAACACGCTGAGCAAGCCAGGAGAAACAAGCCAGTCATTAACGCCCCTGCCCGGCTTCTGCCTCAGTTCCTGCCCCGACTTCCCTTCATGATGGAAGCCCTTCCTCCCCCCAGTTGCTTTTGGTCACAGTGGTTTTTTATCACAGCAACAGACAGCAAATGCCAATACCATCACTGTGACCAGAGAGGATGAACACAGCATTACCTCCTGGAGTTTTCTACGGCCCTTGGTAACCCTGAGGTGAGCCGCCACTCATTTTACCCACCTCACATCTGCTCTAGATTACAGCGTGTTCTCCAGAGTTTATCACACCTAAGCCATGCATTATATACTCATTTCTGTCTGGGCATAATTCTGAGAGTCATCCATGTTGGGCTAGCAAATATTTGCCTTGTTTTTTTTTTTTTTTTTTTTTTTTTTTCTGTTGTTGTTGTTGTTGAGTTAGGCTTTGTAAGTATTTGATCTTATTCTGTGGCACGGTTCCATTTTCTCTTCGTGATGCTATTTTTCAAAGACCTGATGTTTAAAAACTGAGGGTGTCTGATTTTACCAATTGTTTTATCTGTGGTGCTTTTTCCTATCTGAGAAATCTTTCTATAAACCAGTGCCACATTTTTCTGTTCTGTTGTCTTCTATGGTTTTACAGCGCTGGGTTTTACTTTTAAGACTGTGACTCATTTTTTGGTGTGTGTGTGTGTGATAAACTCTTGTTTGTGTTGTAGGTAGTTGGAAGCTCATTGTTTTGCTTGTGCTCTGTGTGTGTTTGAGCACTGTGGTTGAGGAGGCAATCATTTCTTCATTAAATTGCTTTTGTATTTTTGTAAAATAGTCAGTTACGGGCCAACAAGATGGCTCAGCAAGTAAAGCCATTTACTGCCAACCCTGCAGGCCTGAGTTTAATCCCTGGGACCCACATAGTGGATGGAGACAACTGAGTCCTGACCTCCACACTTATACCTATATTCAAAAAAGAAATTTAATTTATATATGAAATTATATATGAAATATATATAATCTCAAGGAATGTTTAAAACAAAAAGAATCCACGAATATATTTTAAAGAGTCGGTTATCCTCATATGTGACCTTTTCTCTGTAGCATTCTTGATTTTTTTTGACAGAAGTATTAGTTTGGACTACTTTGTGAGAGAATACCTTTCTTATACCCATGGTTAAGTGATCGTTTGGCTACGTCAGCATTTGGGGCAGACTTTTCTGTTGTCTTCTGCATTTCAACTTCAGTGGAACTTTGGTGTTGCACAGCTTGTCTCGCGGGTGGGAAGGTGGCTTTACCTGTATTCATCCCATGCAGACCTGGTGCATCACGACTGACAAGAGTTACGCATCTCGCCTGTTGGGGAAATTTCACTGCTGTTATTTTTCCAGTCTTTCCTGCTCACTAGCTCCTCTCTTCTCTCCCTGGACCATCAGTCACGTGTTTACAGGCTTCTGGCCTCTTTCCTCTATGTTTTTTGAGCTCTCATTTGTTCAATTATTAATTTTTTTAAAGGTAAGGACTTCCTTATGTGACGTGTGCATACGTGTGTGTATGTGTTTGTGTGTGTGACATGAGTGCAGTGCCTCCAGAGGCCAGAAGAGGGCATTGGCTCCCTCAGAGCTGGAGTCAGACTGTACTGTGGCTTTAAGAAGAATGATTTCACTGTATTTTAAATCTGCTTGTTAATTTTGTTCCTATTGTCTTACGCTTACCTTTTGAATTCTTTCTCTCATCCCCTGCAAAACTTCTTTGATTCCTTATATGTTCAGCTATGCATTAAGCAGAACATTTTTAAAAAAGCATTTAAAGTTGACAGTGTTGCTCAGTTGGT